TTGCATGTTGCTCTGATTCTGTAAGCTATGCCATGGATATTTTAAATATCAGCAGAGTTACCCACAGTAGACAGGTCTCAGCTGAACTTGCAGATGAGAAGAGATTAAGAAGATGGAGAGACGGAATCGTTCTGAATATTTTTACTCACTACAAATCTTACAAATAGCAGTGGAACTGTCAGCACCAGAATATTGAATCTTGAAACACGATGAAGAACACCAGAATATTATCAAATATAGTGCTGGAAGATGAGCCCCGCAGGGTGGAAGGCACTCAATACGACTGGGGAAGAACTGCCTGCACAAAGCAGAGTTGACTATGATGATGCAAATGGAGTAAAGCCTTTGCCTTCGGGACCTTCATTTGCTGATGGGGCACAACTCAAAATGAAGAGAAACAGCTGTAAACATCCATTAATAATCAGAACATCGAATGTATAAAGTATGAATCTTGGAAAATTGGAAATTGTCAAAAATGAAATGGAACACATAAACATTGAGCTGCAATGAACTGGTGCTGGCCATTTTGAATTTGATAATCACATGGTTTACTATGCTGGAAATTACATATTGAGAAAGAATGATGTTGCATTCATCATCAAAAAGAACATATCAAGATCAGTCATGAGGTACAACGCTGACTGTGATAGGATAATATCCATACACCTACAAGGAAGACCACTTAATACCACTATTATTCAAATTCACGTACCAATCACTAACACCAGTGATGATGAAATTGAAGAATTCTACCAACTTCTTCCGTCTGAAATAGATCAAATATGCAATCAAGATGTAATGATAATTGCCAGGGATTGGAATGCAAAGGTTGGAAAAAAAGAAGCAGGATCAGCAGTTGGAAAATATGGCCTTACTGATATTTTCTGGAGATTGCATGACAGAATTTTGTGCATGACTTCTTCATTGCAAATACTTTTTATAAACAACGTGAAATACAACTATACACATGGACCTCATCAAATGGAATACACAGCAATCAAGTTGCCTACGTCTGTGGAAAGAGATGGTGGAAAAGCTCCATATCATAAGCAAAAACAAGGCCAGATGCAGATTGTGAAACAGGCCATCAATTACTCATATGCAAGTTCAGGCTGAAGCTGAAGAAAATTAAAACAAGTGCATGAGAGCCAAAATATGACCTTGAACATATCCCATCTGAATTTAGAGGTCATCTGAAGAACAGATTTGATGCATTAAGCACCAAAGACCAGAAGAGTTGTGGAATGACATCAAGAACATCATACAGGAAGAAAGCAAAAAGTCATTAAGAAGACAAGAAAGAAGGAAAAGTTCAAAATGGATGTCAGAAGAGACTCTGAAACTTGTTTTCCAGCATAGAGATGCTAAAGTAAATGGAAGAAATGAGGAGGCAAAAGAAAATTTCAAAAGACAGCTCAAGAAGACAAAGTCAAATATTATAATGAAATGTGCAAAGACCTGTGGTTAGAAAACCAAAAGGGAGGAGCACATTCTAGCATTTGTCAAGCTGAGAGAATGGGAAAAAAAATTCAAGCCTTGACTTTCAGTATTGAAGGATTCTATGGGAACAATATTGAATGATGTAGAAAGCATCAAAAGAAGATGGGAGGAATACACAGAGTCAATGTAGCAAAGAGAAATGGTCGGTGTTCAACCGTGTCAAGAGGTAGCATATGATCATGAGCCAATGATAGTGAAGGAAGAAGTCCAGGGTGCATTGAAAGCATTGGCAAAAAAACTGGACACTGGAAACTGATGGACTATGAATTGAAATCTTTCAACAAACTAATAATGCAGTATTGGAGGTACTGACTCGTCTATGCCCAAGAAATGTGGCCGTGGTATCTTCAATAACCTCATATGCAAGTAAAAGTTGAACAGTGACTAAGGAAGACTGTAGGAGAATTGATGCATTTGAGTTATGGTGTTGAAGGTGAATATTGAAAGTACCAAGGACCTCCAAAAGAACAAACCAATGTGTTGGAAGAAGTACAAGAATGCTCCTTGGAGGCCAGGATGGCCAGACTTTGTCTCTCATACTTCAGACATATTATCAGGAGGGACTAGTCCATGGAGAAGAATGTCATGTTTTGTAAAGTGGCGGGTCAGAGAAGACAAGGAAGACCACTAATGAGATGCACAGTGGCAACAGCGATGGGCTTAAACAGCAAAGATGGTGAGGTTGGCTCTGCACCAGGCAGTGTTTGATTCTGTTGTACATCGGTACTGACTCCATGGCTCCTAACCACCACCACCACAACAGACTTGACCGCAGACACTGTTTGCTGCATCTGGCCTCCAACAAGAACCTCAGCTGTGCTGCCACATGACAGATGTGGCTCACACACATATGAGTTCACAGACCTGAATGAGGAGTGACCTAGGGTATAGGAAGCCCAGGGGATGTACCTAGGGAAGGCTAGCTGGATTAGGATTGCAGCCCAGGGCAATCTGCTTCCAAAGCCCAGGAGCTGAGACTGCTTGGTGGACAGAACCCATAGAGAAGCCTGGATGTGGCCTGGCCTTCTGGCATGGTCCAGCCACATGATTGTCTTAAATTTTCATCATGTTTGTAGATGATTTTGCCCTACCCTTTTCTTCTCGGCCAAATGTCCTAGACCACAGTCTTCTCCCTGGTGCGTGGTGGGTTGGTAGGAGCAAGGGCTTTCTCTCAGAGCCCTAAGCTTCTGGGGCAGTGCTGTAGAGTCCCAGCGAGCCTCAGAGTCCTCAGGGCCTTCCTTGGTCAACTGAACCCAGGGGCTCAGATCTGGAATGGCCTGCCATTCAGGATCCATCTGGGACTCTCCACACTGCTCGATAAATATGAAATGCTCTATAGATATGAAACCAGGCGCCCATTTCCTCTGCTAATTCTTCCTTGGTGACCTAGGGTTAGTGGAATGGAGCAGTTCCAGGTTAGGGGCCCCTCACTAAGGACCTGCGATCCATAGACAGGCCCTGGACTCCACCATGAATCTCTGAGAGGCCTGGTGATGTCCCCTGACTTACATAGTGAGGGAACTGGGGTCCAGCAGGCTTTAGTGTCTCACCTGAACCTACAGTGAATTCTGGGAGGCCCATGTCTGGTCTGTGTGATGCCAAAGCCTTCATGTTTTCCCCACCACACTACCCATCTTCTCTGCTCCATCCAGCTATTTTTAATGCCCACCTTTTGGTTGTTACTGGAAGCTGCAGACCCAATGATCTTCCCCTTCCTGTCCAGTCTCCCCTGCCCAGTAGCCATTAGCCATGTGTGGACATTTCCATTTAAATGATTAAATAAAAATGCAATTTCTTGGTCACCTCTCAGATGCTGAGCAGGCACATGGGCCCTGGAACACAACATTGCAGGAAGTTGTGTTGAACTGGGCTCTGGAACGTGTCCTGAGCTCTCATAGGACATGTCACTGCTGACTCTACCAGCCACCATCCATCTCGGGAGTGCTGGGACCAGCACCAAGTTGGTAATTCGACTGAATTCCTGGGGAGCTCTCCCATACTCCCTTTCCCAGTGGCCTTGCTCACCTAGCTCGGGTGGTTGGGTTTCCCGGCAGGCCTTATCAGCCCAGCAGTGGGAGGGCAGGCCCAGGGTTGCCTACTGCCTGCTGTCCCACCCACATTCCCCTAGCTGGTCCTGCCTGATGGGGCATCTGCAGACTGACTTCCCTATGTCACAGTTTTGGTCAACCAGGCAGACCCAGATGCTCCAGCCCACTCGCCCCTCTGGGGCCCTGCCCAGTGCCCAGCCCACTGCTCAACTGTGTGTACTCCATACACACAACCTCACCTTCTACTCAGGCCATTCCCTTCACCTACACTGAGCCTCTCAAGACCCATCACCTCCTGAGGGGCAGCTCCGTCCTCAGTGTCCACCTGTAGTTCTGTTTGTGACATTCAGCGCTCACTCGTTGGCTCATCCTGTCCCCTGAGCACCTAGCAAATCTCCCCTGAGTGCCTACTGTGTTCCCCATCAGTGCTGGGTTCTGGAGAAATAGGAACAGACCAAAGGCCGGTCTGAATACTTTATGTTGATAGAGAGGCTGCTGGTGTGCAGCCAGAGATGGAAGTGGCCAGCTGGGAAGGTCAGGACAGACTTCCCTGGGATGGGATGCTGAGGCCAGAGGGACCAGTGATGAGGCTAGACTGAAGGTGAGTCAGCGGGCTATGTGGCTTGAAGAGGGGACTGGAATGGCATGGAGGCAACAGGAGAGAGAATGTAGGCACAGCTGGCAAGAGAAGAGTTTTAGCTTCAGGGAGTGCATGTCTGATTGGAGACGTTGTATAGGTGTCCTATGTCCATGCCAGACCCCCACCCTAGGGGCACAGCCAGATCTAAATCATTAGTTCTAGGCTCTAGAGCCCAGCACACAATAGGTACTTAGGAGATTGTACGGACTGTGAGCAATGTTGACTGAGTCCCGTATGTGAGGGCCTGATGTGCGGGCTCCAGGAGGTGTCAGGGCACCCTTTCTTCCCTGTAGACTAGGATGGAGTCCCCGAGATATGACAGGCCAGATGGCCAGGCCAAAGAGGATGTAGGGACCCCAGGCAACTCCCAGAGTTTGTTGTATTCACTTCCCCTCATCCTGCACACCTTCACTGAGCATGCTCGGTCAGGGAGACCCCCCAGCCAGGCTGATATGAAGACTGCGTCTGTGGAGGTCCATCTTTTCTTTGCTAGAAAGATAGTATTTTAACTGGTTGTTAAAATACTGCCCAATTTTTGTATCCCGAAGCCCCTGCCCCCAGGGCTGTGAGCCCATGTGATGGACACGTCAGCCTCTGGCTTGGCACGTGATCTCTAGCGGCCTACACTAGGGTCAGGACAGTTTTGGTGTCCTCCCTGTCTGTGCATTATGTGGTGACCTTATTGTGTTATCTCTTGTGTCCAGTCACTGCCATGTTCGGCAGTCTTGCTGAGGGCCCTGTCCAGTGTGTGGGTGTCAGGCAGGTACCACCCCCGTGTGCCTAGCACAGTGCTGAGCTCCCCCTGAGACCAGCTGAGATACTGTCACTCAACTCAAGCCCGTTCCCTCCCCTTCTCCTGCAGGGCAGCATGCGCACCAGTCACATCCAGCCGGAGACCCAGGCACTGTGGAGCCCCCGCCCGCAGCCACTGTCTCGGAGCTCTTTCAGCCTGCTGGGTGAAGGCCGTCAGCAGAGACCAGAGCTCCGAAAAAGTGCCAGCAGCACTGTGTGGCAGACCCAGCGGGGGGAGGCCAGCACCGTCCCCCAGGTCCCAGAGGAAGACGGATACCAGGCGGAGAGCACGGCGCAGGGGCTGGCTGCCAGCCCCCGACCACAGCCCAAAGCCGTGGCCCATTGGCGCAGCAGCACCGTGGGCAATGTGTCTGCCATGGGCAGTGGGGACCTGTGTTGCCTGCAGGCTCCCAACGCCACTGCCATGAAGAGGAGCCACTCGGACCTGGCCCGAAGCACCCAGACTCGGGGGCATGGTAGAGTTCGGAAGGCCAGCCTCAGCTGCTCAGCCCTTGGTGGCTCACCCATTCCAAGGGCCCCACTGCCACCTGGCAACACTTCTGGCCTGGAAAGGGATCAGGGTCCGGAAGATGAGGTGGCCCCCAGAACTGCTGGGACCTCAGACTCAGCCTGGACCCTGGGGGAGAGTCAGGTATGGGCATCACCACTCGATCTGGATGGCACAACTGCCAACAGCAGCAGCCCGGAGGCTGGGCCCAAAGCCACTGGACAGCTGGCCACCACTTCCTGCCGTGCTCTGCCCCCAGCAGCTGCCCTGTGCAGCATGAGGGAGGTGGGGGCCACAGAGCTCCTGATGTTTCCCAAGCTGGTGGCATCAGTGAGTGAGTCTGGACTACAGGCTCAGCATGGACTCAAGCTCCATTGCAGACCACCTGGGGGGCTACGTGGGCACTCCCAGTGCTGTGCCCACCCTTGGGGTCCCAGTGGGTTAACCACAGAGCCTGACACCAAGACCAAGGATATGTGGACCATGACTTCAGCCAGTGACTTGGCCCCTTCATCAGCCCAGGATGCTGCAGTGCACACAGCCCCCAGGGCAGTCTGCAAGGCTGTGGCCACATGCCACCCCCTGGAAGCCTCCGTGGCCTTGCACATGTTCCCAGAGGGGACTGTGGGGCCCAGCCTGGACGAGGCAGCGTCCCCAGTGCACAACGTGCGGTGGGATGCTGAGGGCATGACGTGGGAGGTATACGGGGCCGCCGTGGATCCTGAGGTGTTGGATGTGGCCATCCAGAAGCACCTGGACATGCAGTTTGAGCAGCTGCAGCGGGCACCCACCAGCAAGGACAGCCTGTCTGTGGAGGGCCGCAGAGGCCCCCTGCGAGCCGTCATGCAGTCCCTGTGGCAGCCCAGCTGCTGCGGCTGCTCCAGTGCAGCCCCTGAGTGAGGCACTGCAGACCTGGCACTGGCCACAGGCAACAAGTGGGGCTGCCCGCTACACACAGTGGGACTGCGGTTAAGGGTTTCATTTCCCAGAGTCCCCACCACACATCTTGCACTCTGGACTTTGGAGTGGTGCATCGACACTGTGCAGAAGCGGCCTCTTGATTTGTCTGTGAAAGAATCCAACTTCTATTGTGTCTGCCCTCAGAACTCTGCCAGAGGTTCCCTGGGGCTCCTGGTGGCTTGAACCTTATGGTTGTACATGGACTGCCCGGCTCTGTCCTTGTAATGTGCAGGGCCTCCTGTGTACCACACACTGTCCTGCTCACCTTACCATGCTGGGTGAGGCCTGTTTTATAAAGGACATTGAAGATGTGTGCCCATGCTTGTCTGGTGGCACTGAGATGCAAAGCCAGGACTGGCTGGAACTAGTTCATCTTCCTGTAGCATACTACTGCTCCTCAAGCTTGTAGACAAAGAAGCCTTCTTGAGTCTGGCTTCCAAGGGAAACGAGGCAGGCTGTCCAAGCCCTTGCAGAGCTCATAGTCTGTGGGAAAACCCATGTATTTAAGGGTGATGAGTGCTACACAAGAGCCCTCCCAGGCTCCAGAGGGAGTACTTCTTAGCTCACCAAGTGGCCACGAGGAAGGGGAGAACAGGCTCTCAGCTGCCCTCAAATATGCACCTTTATCTCTTCATTTTTCCAGCCAAAATGTAGTTCTTAGAAAGAAGGAAGTCAAGAATGGC